TGTAGGTCTTTTGGGGGAGTCAGTCACCTGTTATTCACTTATTTGTGTATGTGTGTTTTTTTCTCCTGCCACCGTATGGTGGGGGTGCAAGTACATTGAACACGAAATATTTTGTAGTAGAGCTTAGACTTTTTTTGCTTAGAACAGGGTTCGTCAAACACCGCGTTTTGTATTACTGATTTGGACAATTCAGCAGGACAATTAGTGTCGAAAAGACATGGTTAAAAAAGACTGTAAGATGTTCAGGATGTGAGGTGGGCTTCAGAATCAAGAATAGTGCGGACGCGAATGCAGAGGAAGCTAACGCCATGTGTAGGCAATGTGAGGTCATGGGAAAAAAATGGGAAAATGATGGTTGCTCAGAGTGAACTGCTGATGAGAATCACCAGGCTGGAGACTGCGTTGGCGACAGAGCAAGAAAAAACGAGGGCTATAAGAGAAAGACGTTGGTAAGCCGAGAAGGCACTAGCGAAGGTGAACAAAGAAGCGGCCGATGTAGAGAACGATAGGGCACCGACACCCAAAATGGCGAAGAAGAAAGCAAAAACAGGTTCGCAAAAAAACAGATTCAACCGGTTTAATGACATGACCCAGCTTCAGTGAAGTAGTAGGGGAGGTGGTGAGGGGACAAAGCAGCCGCCTGTACACGCACAAGAAACCTCCAGGTGCGGAACACTAGGAAAAACGTCGAAGCACGTGATAATTGCCGCGGACTCGAATGTAAATCGATGCGCAGAAGCAATCAAAGAGAGCGCTAGAGGTGACAAGAAGGTTTCAGTAGAGACGTTCTCGGGGCTTAAGCTGGAAGCAGCAATGAGGACAGCGAGCCCAAAACTCACAACTAAAACTAATGAACGAAACATCGTGATAATTTCTGGTGGTATAAATGATGCCCTTAATGAAGAATCGGCAGCACTAGCGACCACACCGGCGAGAAGGGTCGATGGCATGCGCGCCATTTCCCCTCAGGTACAGGTTGTGATATGCACGATACCGTAGGTACCGGTGCGTGACCGCAACCAGAAAAGTGCGGTTGCCGGCGCAAACAAATAGATATGGCAGATAATACGAGAGAAAGGCTTTGAGGTAGTGCAAATAAACAGAGAGATGCATAGGTGGGGTGGTTTTTAACGAGACAAAATTCATTTCGATAGAAGGCTAAGTCACGAGGTGGTTTGGTGACTTGCAGGACGCGCAGTAGCTTTTTTGGAAGGCACGTGGGCCCTTCGGGGTCCAAGATAGCTAGTAACGAGGAATGCTATCAGGGGGAATCTTTGACAGGTGGTATAGGCAAATACGATTCCAAAGTGGCGCCATTATCTAAGACACGCAGAGCCCGGAGGACAAATTAACGTAGGCACGAGAGCCCAACAAATTCAGACGTAGGGTATAATAACATGCATGGAGGCAGAAGTAGGTTGAAGTGAGGAGAGGCAGAAGAACAGATAAGGGAGAAGAAGCTGATAGTATATGGGTTTGTAGAAACACATCTTAGGGACATTGAAAAACCATCTAGCAGTCCGGACTATGCATTTCAATATTGTAATAGAACAGAAGGCGCAAAAAGATGGGTGGTATAGGGGCATTTATTCATAAAACACAGACTGGCAAATGGTCAAACAGGAGTGCAGGGAGCATTTATGGCTAAAATGAAAAGTGGCAAGGCAGATAACACTCCTGGGTTTTGTATACTTGTGGGCAGGGGCGAAACCCAGAGAGGAAAACCAATAAATGTTACAGTGCACAGAAAATGACATTGAATAATTAGGAGAACAGTGTGGGGTAATTATATTAGGATGTAATATTGTGCACGTAGATGATAAGGATGAATATACTGACTCAACAGGCAGAATGCCAAAAGATATGTGTGAAAGCCATGATTTAATCGTTTGCAACAGTACCGAAAAGTGCGAAGGGCAGATAAAAAAGGATGTGGGAAGCCTGAAGTCGACAATATATTACGCACTGATGTCACATAGAATGTATGATCGGCTAAGGGTGATGAGCACAGATGCATGTGGGCCCCGCCGCGGTGGTCTAGTGGCTAAGGTACTCGGCTGCTGACCCGGAGGTCGCGGGTTCAAATCCGGGCTGCAGCGGCTGCATTTCCGATGGAGGCGGAAATGTTGTAGGCCCGTGTGCTCAGATTTGGGTGCACGTTAAAGAACCCCAGGTGGTCGAAATTTCCGGAGCACTCCACTACGGCGTCTCTCATAATCATATGGTGGTTTTGGGACGTTAAACCCCCATATCAATCAATCAACAGATGCATGTGGGTCCAGAAGCTTAGGTAGTGATCACAAACGTATCAAGCTGAGTTTGAAATGAGTGAGAAATGAAAATGGGAAGGAGACATTCTGAGCAAACACATGGTAATATTTATTCAGAAAGGCAAATAGAAAGAGCAACTAAAGAGATTGAGAAAACAAACACCGAGGATACTAAAACAGAGTGGATGTACACACATCTAACTCGATTGTTTGAGTTGGAGCTTGCTAAGGTACGAGTCAAATTAACCGGGAAAAGGAGACTCTAAGCCAAAAGCTGATGGGAGGAGGAAGTTAAGATAGCCATAGCAAGATGTTAGGAAGCCTCCAGAGAACGCAGGTTTGCTAAAGAGAGGGGTGAATCGGAAGATTGTGCCGAAAAAAAGGATAACTTTTTGAGTTGCAGAAGAAAAGCGTTCAATCTGATCAGTGAGAACATTAAAAGAAAGGGGGCCTAATGAATGGCGGAAGTAAACAAAAACAATAGAAAAGCAGCTGCAAAGTTTTAGAACCACCTCAATTTTCTGAGTGATAAGCATGGAACAGAGGTTTATAACTACAGTTCAAGGGGCCTGACTAGAAGGGGATGAGGCAATAGAATATATAAGAACAATGATGACAGATAAATTTAAACAGCAAGAAAGCGCTGCATGCATCATACCAGATGAAGATGGACCAATTAGCGCAGTGGCTCCACTGGGACAACAAGAGTGGGAAAAGGCAGAGAATAGGGTTCTTAATAACACATCAACGATCCCTGACGGCTTCCCAATTATGCTAATAAAGAAACTAGGACCAAACTCCAGCCAAACATTAAGAGAGGCAGCGAGCAAAGCAATAATGGATGGTGAAGCCCCAATGGGAGGAAACTAAGCAGGATAAGCATGATCTATAAAGAAAAGAGGGACAAAGCTGATATAAAGAACTACCGTCCTATAACAGTGACATCAGTAGTTTACAGGCTGCGATGCAGATAGTAAAGACTATGGACATAAGGGGGGAGAATGAGGGGATGCTTGGAGGGCTAAGAAATGGGTTCCGTAAACAATGGAGGTTGAATGACAATATGTTCTCATTGATGCAGTGTATTGAAAGAGAGGGAAAATAACACAGGCCTCTGTGGCTGGCATTTGTATATATCAAGGGACTTTACGATAGTGTGATTCAAGAAGACTTGTGGGGAATACTGGACACACTAGATGTGAAAGATGGAATAATCCATCTGCTAAAGGATATCTATAAAAGTAACAAGGTATTTATAAAATGGGATGATGAGGTATCAGAACCTATAGAGATACAACGCGGCCTTCGAAAGGGATGTCCCTTGTCACCTTTGTTATTTTTACTGCATACAAGGACTAGAAGCCAAATTAGAGGGGAGTTAACTCGGCTTCAGCCTCTCTTTTTCCAAGCAAGGGAAACACGTTGAAAAGCCATTGCCAGCATTGATGTATGCAGATGATATAGTAATAATAGCCGACAACACGGAAGATCTGCCGAGATTGATAGACATCTGCAGTAATGAGGGAGGTAGGTTAAAATTGAAGTTCAGCTTTGAAAAATCGGCAATCATGATATCTAATGATAACGAAGGCAGTGAGCATAAGGTACAGGAAGTCACGCTAGAAATAGTCGATAAATACAAATATTTGGATGAATGGATAACTAACGGGGCGGAGTACCTAAGGGAGCACAAAAGATACGTAATGACTAAGGATAACAGGAATGCAGCGGTAATAAAAATTAGGGCACTGTAGAACTACAATGGGTATGAAGTTTTAAGAGAGATTTGGAAAGGTGTCATGGTCTTGGGTTTGACGTTCGGTAATACATTCTTGTGCATAAGATCAGAGCTTCAAGCAAGATTGAAAATTAAACAACGTGGCATAGGTAGACATGCTTTGGGAGCACACGGTAACATCCCAAATTAGGCGGTACAGTGTGACATGGGATGGACATCGTTCGAGTGCACGAAAGCTAGCAGCAAGGTAGAATTCAAAGAGCTATTGAGAAAACTGGGATAGGAGTGTTGGGCTAGGAAAGTTTTCAGCTACTTGTACATGAAGATAGGTGATACAAAATAGAGGAAGTGAACTCAAAATTTGTCAAGCAAGTATTTAGATAAAAGCAGAATACCAAGCCTAAAGGAAACATCGGCTAAGATGAAGGTGAAGGAAACAGAGAGGGACATGTCGAACATTGGAATGCTTACGAAATCATCACTGGAGACCTACCAAACTATCACACAGGAAATTGCAAAAGAAAAGATCCACGATAATTTCCAGAGTAGTTCTTTGCTGTTCGAGGCCAGAACGAGAGTATTGCGGACCAAGACGTACCAAGCCGTGGCAGGAGCGCTGTGTTCTGAACTGTAGAGTGTCTTCCTGCTTGTACCCATTTCCTATCTCCATTCACTCTCCAAATACTCTGTATGCTCATAAAACCACAAGAAGAACGAAGAAGCAGACGAAAAGAGTGTCACTCGCAACCAATTGCCAGAGATGCTCTTTCTCTATTGCTTCTTCGTTTTGTTAATGGGGTTTTATAGGCATCTAAAACTTTCAGTATGCTGCATCAACTAGTCCCGCCACAATATTTCCAAGGGAATATAAATATACGCTGAGTAATCATTCTGCTTTTCAATAAAGCTTCCGCTCTCTTTTTTTTATCTATTTTCAATCTGTCATAATGAAGTACTAAATTCATCCACGCAACGTATCATGTATTTCTCACCTTTAAGCAGCATTCCATGTACTTCATTTGTTTCAAGTCGTCCGATGTGACAGGCCGTGTCTTGTCGGAGCCAAATATCGTGTCCAGCTCTTGGTGTATGAGGTCTTGGTGCTCCTCATGGAGGGCAATAAGGTAGATGGCCCAGCTCATCCCCATTGCCGTAGTGTCATGGCCCTATAAATATATTGTACAAATGAAGGACAACAGAGCATACATTCAGATAGAATCAGAGGCTTCCGCAGTTCAATCAGTGAACTGCTTTTGGATACATGTCCGGAAAAAAACTTAAGGCACCACTGATTAACCCGCACCACATAGTTAAGCTACAAGAAAATGCCAACACTGCATGAAGCAAACTTAAAAGCATACGGCAGACCAGTGCTGCGCTGGTGTTCAGCGCTGGTCCTGTTCGTCAGTTGTTTTTTCCTGAGTTCGTTTTTTCGTAGAATTATTATGAGAACATAAACGCTTGAACTTTCTACAAATATTAATATCTGCGCCCGGAAATACACATCAATGTCGTGTATACAGCATCCGTGAAAGCTGTCAAGTATTTAAAGGGAAACAAGACAGATGTTTATTACAAATCACAGAATATTCATTGAGTGAATGATGGTGAGTGGGGCGAAGCTCGGTCCATCTGTCTGTCTGTCTGTCTGTCTGTCTGTCTGTCTGTCTGTCTGTCTGTCTGTCTGTCTGTCTGTCTGTCTGTCTGTCTGTCTGTCTGTCTGTCTGTCTGTCTGTCTGTCTGTCTGTCTGTCTGTCTGTCTGTCTCGAACGATCGTCGATCGTTCTCCTATCACACTAACCCCCACAAGCAGCGTGCTCCTCCACGCCATCTAGTGATCCATTCACGTAGATGGATGGATAGATAGATGTGGCTCCACCCTTTAGATCGGTCAGCGGCTAACGCCACCTAGCCGTAATACTTAGTTAACTAACCACTACATTTATCTTTTTCCCCTTTGAATAGTGAAGTTGGGGACTGGTACTTTGAAGTGAAGGACTTAATTTTCACTCTTGCATTGACTTAAGCCACTAATCAGATAACCTTCTTCTAGTTAATTCTACCCGCTTAAAGTCTATTTTGCCCTCCCTGCCCCTAAACCTCAGTGCTTTGAAAAACTCTGCGTCATCATCCTGAACAATTGGGTGAAGCCCTTTACAGAACATTATCAAATGTTTGGCAGTTTCCTCCACCTCTCCACATGCGCTGCATACCGTGTCTACCCCTTCGTATTTGGCCCGATATGTCTTGGCTCGCAATACTCCCGTCCTGGCCTCAAACAGTAGAGAACTACCCCGAGTATTATCATAGATTCTTTCCTTGGCAATTTCCTGCTTAAACGTTCGATAGATCTCTAGTGCGGACTTCTTAATCATGCCAACTCTCCACATGTCAGTCTCCGTTTCTTTCACTTTCTTCGTAACCGATAGTTATTTTTGGTTTGGCCACCTGCTGTTTTCTAAGTATTTACCAGTCAATTTCCTCGTTCGCTTCCTCCATTTTCTATCGACATTCTTCATGTACAAGTAGCTGAAAACCTTCCTAGCCCAACGCTCCTCCCCCATTTCTCTCAATCGCTTCTCAAATTTTATCTTGCTGCTAGCTTCCCTGCCCTCAATTGATGTCCATCCCATATAACCTTGTACTCTTTGATTTGGTGTATTCCCGTGAGCTCCTAAAGCAAGCCTACCTATTCCACGTTGCTTAATTTCTAATCTTGCTTGAACTTCTGATCTCATGCACAAGACCGCATTGCCGAAAGTTAGATCAGGAACCTTGACCCCTTCCATATTCCTCTCACAGCAACATACCTATTGTAATTACACAGTGCTCTATTTTTTATCACTGCTGCACTTCTGTTACCTTTAGTGTTGACGTACATTTCGTTTTCACTTAGGTACTCTGTCCCATTGCTTATCCATACGTCCAGATATTTGTATTTATCTGTTATCTCTAGAGTGACTTCCTGTATCTTAAGCTCACAACCTTTAATATCATTAAAAATCATGACTGCTGATTTTTCTTTACTGAATCTGAAACCTAACCTATCTCCTTCATTACGGCAGATGACCATCAATCTCTACAAATCTTCCTTGTGGCTGGCCATTAGCACTATATCATCTTTGTACATTAATGCTGGTAGTGCCTGATCAATGAGTTTTCCTTGTTTGACGAAAGAGAGGTTGAAGCCAAGTCCACTTCCCTCTAATTTGGCCTCTAATCTTTGTAGGTACGTCATGAATAACAAGGGTGACAAAGGACACCCCTGCCTAAGCCCCCGTTTCACCTCTGAGGGCTTGGATAGCTGTTTTTCCCACTTTATAACTACCTTGTTACTTTTATAGATTTTCTTTAAAAGATTAGTGACTCCATCTTCTACAGCTAGTGTGTCCAGTATTCCCCACAAGTCCTCTTGAACCGCGTTATCTTACGCTCCCTTGATATCCAAAAATGCCAGTCACAGGGGCCTTAGTTCCTTTTCTGCTATTTCGGTGCACTGCGTCAGTGAGAACAGATTGTCTTTCAGCCTCCTGGGTTTCCGAAACCCATTCTGCAGTTCTCCCAGCACCCCCTCATCCTCTATCTATGCCTGCAGTCTTTCCTTTATAATCTGCATCGCCAACCTGTGGACATCAGACCATTGATTCCACTGTTATAGGATGGTAGTTGCTTATGTCAGCTTTGTCCCCCTTTCCTTTAGAGATCATGCTCATCCTGTACTGCCGCAGCGCAGCGCCATCTAGTGAACATTGTGAGAAGCGACCGGGGGGGACTACGACGAACAACGACGGAGAGACTCAGCCATAACGTTAGGAGCTTCACCCCTAGAAATCAGATCTCACAAAACCATCATACACACCGTTTACTGCGGATCCTGAACACGCTCTGGTAAATGTGAAACGGCCCTTGGAGTTTCTAAAGATCCTCTAGTACATATAATAGCACTTGCACATTAATTCGGTCATTGTTCAACAATTATTTCATTGAGTCTGTTTGAACCAGCCAAGCACGCGTATATTTTGAAAATGTGTAATAGACTTGTCTAAGAAGTACGTTTCCCGTGTGTGCGTGTGTGTGTGAGGGGGTATTTTGCCAACTCGGGGCTTTAACTCGCTTTTAGCACCAAGTTATCTTTTAACCGTCTATGCATTCATCACAACTCTGTTGCATAACTACTGCTCGACTCATTGTTCGAAGATGGCTTTCTCAGAATATTTTGTAACGTGTCCAGCAGCATGAACGCGTGTTCCGGGTGTGGAAGTGACTATCAGCAGCACGTCACACTCCTCTTTTTTTCCTACCACCACTCGTTGTCTTACCACCTTATATTATTTGTCTCACTGATGTCGCGTCAATTCTCATAGCCACGCACAAGTTTGCAAAACTGTTATTCAACCAATGCAGCGAAGCTGAGACAAGTTAATCGGATCTGTAGGTGCATGATTTCAAGACCAATTGGTATGATGTCACAGCAGCATCAATCTTATGAAATTGCTGATGCAGTGTGCCACACAGTTTCCAGCATTCTGGTGTGCCAGTATGTATACTGTACCTCAAACATGAAAGTGTCGACTTCTTCTCGGACGTGTTCTTCGGTAAAATTTTCAGGGTCTTTGATGTGTTCTCGGAGAAGGATATCTAGGAATGGTTTCCTGGCTGTCCCTTTCAAGCCGTAGACGTCACTCTCACTGGCTGTTTCCTCGTAGGACTCCTGAAGTTCGGGACACGAGAGAATCTCTCGCTTTCGCTCACGGATAACCTGCAAAGTTATACACCGTTAAGGATGTTAATGTAGCCAGGGTACTGTGACAAACGTGCTCGAAAATCTTCAACAACAAAGTAAAAGCGGGATGGAGGAGAACATGAGCTTGTTGCTTTCATAGTTACCTATTTTGTAGCAGCAGACATCTGAAAATAAATAGACAGATCAATGAAGGCAATAAATAAAGATAATAAACCATACGATCTTCAATTAGTTAAGTCAGGCTGCCAAGACAAATGAGATAATTGAAGTCCTTTCTGCTAAGGGTTATCAAACCAGAAATTTCCTTCTAAACCTTTCTCAACTCTCGCTCTCTTTTCCTGCGAAGAGACAAATGCCGCTTTGATATTTCAAAAGAGTGAACTTTACTATGGCGGAGTAACAAAATTCGATCTAATTCGCCGTCAATACTGGTATAGTTGAAGGAGAAAGATATTTATAACACACAACTGAAATTACGCACCTAAAGATCTGGGCTTCAACCGCCTACGTATGCGACGCATAATTACTGATGTTCTTCAGGATATGTTCAGCTGAAAGGCGATATCACTACAAGAAGTGCCATAACGAAAGAGTAAAATAAGTGCGCGTAGAACTGATTACGTATCAGCATTACCCTTCTGTTTCGACACGGATATACAAAGAGCAAAAGAAATAAGCGGGCTTGCAACTGCCAAGGCATTACCGCCTACTCGTCATGAAGGAGTGGTTCCCCCGTGGCTGCTTAACAGATAAGTTATCGCGACGCTAAGCTCAAGGACGTGGGTTCAATTGCCGGCCCCACAAGTAGAAAAAAATTATTTCGCAGTCCCTCACTATTACTACTTCCATAATCATAGCATGGTTTTCAGCGCGCGTAAGACCTTAGCAGTCCGTATCATGAATCAGCGAATAGAGAGTAGTAAACAAAAGAGGAATGAACTAGTGAGAGCAAAGCGAAACGTGCAAAGGGAGCATATGCACACAAGTGTTGAAAGCAACGTGCTGCCAAAACAAACACTCAGTCTTTCTAGCGGTAGAAACTCTATAGAGATAGTGTTCAAACTGGGAGTTGTGGACTCTTGTGTTTGTGGAGAGTGATATACCGCTCATGCAGTCGTCAGCAAACGAGCAATGATCATTCGAGCACGTGGCTTGATGTTCTTTTTATGCATTGCGTATTCAAGCTCAAGTGTAGTAGGCGTTGAGGTGTGATTGTTCTCTCGATATCAGTTTTATCGCATTCGTTTGATAAAGGGTGATATTTTTAGCCCATAACAGCCGTATAACACCAACTGAGGGCCTCGCTCAGCAGTTATCTAGTTTACGCGTCTTGTCAAAAAAGAGACGTTGGACGACGCCTTGAAGACCGTGGCCGTGCCAATCTCGCCACTTAATTCCGAGGGCTGGAGTGGAGCGGCAGTGGCTGCTAGCGTCCGAACCACCACGTGCGTGAACTCGTTGTTCTACTGCTCGCTCCTCAAGCTAGGCATTACCTGCGCGAGAGGCGCGAGGTGGTGGTTGGCAAATGGTGATGATGATGATCCATGGCTATGATGATGATGGTACACGCTTAATTCACTGGAAAACGAACGAGCAAGATAACGCATGTTGATGAAGACAACACCATGTTAACAGACGCAGCGGATGCTAAATAGGTTTAAAGGAACGTTCATACAAAGTTTAATGTTACCTTCAATGTGAATTGATGAAGTTCTTTGACTTTCCGCGCAAACTCTCGTCCGGGCTTTGAAAGCTGGAATATCGCGTCTATCCAGTATAACGGTGTCTCTAGGCGCCGTGTGAAACTGTGACCAAGCCTGGAAACGTCGAAGAAATAGACATTCTTGAGTTATCTACGACGCCATCATTCAGGCAAAAATAGTTTGTGACAATCACTCTGAAATGCACATGGCACAAAGTTTCGAAAGTCATTCTAAAGACTTACACTTTAATGGCTTGAACATATTCCGAATCCTGGTTACTTTGAGCATTGATCGTGTAGCCCATAATCGTCTCTGAAAATCAAGGTTTTGATTTTCATTGCAGCAACGCCGAAACCTGTGCTGTCCGCGTCAACGCACAAATGTGAAATGTGAAACATGACTGCATAGGTCCACTTACACGTGTTCGTTCTGCATGAAAAGGGACAATGAAAAAACAACGCTTTTCACAGCGCGCATAATAAAAACACTGGGAGGCCATCAGGTATTAGTTTACCCTTATTTACAGATTAAGAGAACCTGTAGTGCGCTCTTCGCCTAGTTTTAATGATGGTATTTTATTTATATCGGCTAGAACAGAGTTCTTCAAATGTTCTACTGACTCCATATTCAAGCCGGTGCTTTATTACAGAAGCATGGTTCACTTAATGCGTGAAGTCAGGAACGAGCCCATTTGAAACTCAAGTCATGGATATAAAAATGGGCAGCCATAGATTTACCAAGGATTCATAGTACCTACTATTCGCTGAGCTGCACGAATGTTTCAAAGATTTTTTATGGGTAATGTAGCGTGCATTTTGTACCACCTAAAACACAACCAACTCTCTAAATGCACACCTTGTATTGTGACCTCAATGAAAACCACTTTTGTACCTTATGTTCCTTGATATTGAGTGCAACAACAAATAATGGAAATAATTGAGAAGGGAAGAAAGAAAAATTTTAATGAAGCACTAAGCGATTTATTCCGCCCGGCAACAGGACCACTAATTCGCAGGAGAATCTGAGAGCCATTGATACAAGCTTGAAAAAAAAAGAAAAAAACTGCTTGCTGACGCACACACAAGAAGAGAAGACGACGGACACTCTGGAACTAGCAAAAAGTTTAATGATACCACCCCAATAAATACCAGGAAAGCCAAGCGCGCATGTGTCGTGAATAATACATGTGTGATTCACAAAAGGAGAGGATGATATTCATAGCCACATTTTCAAAATAATCAATCTCTTTCTTTGATAGAGAGAGCGAAGGTACACAAATGCAATTGTTTGAACCATGTTTCTAAGTTTCATACGCCTCAATCACTTTACGTTTGTAGCGCAAATTGTTGGCAAGGAAACGACGAAATATTCAATAAGCTCACGTCACCTATGGCGCCAGAGAGAGAGGAAACGCCAGGTTCGAATAGCACGCTGATTTTTTGTGTATGTTTTCAAAAGTCGTTTAAGGTCCATGTAAAGGATTCTTGTCGTTGCCATCACAAGGAGCAACGAACCCGTCCTATATGTTTTACAGAGTGAGCTCTAGTAGCGGTCAGTCCTCCGACCGTTTTATGCGGTAGATATGCACATTTGAAGGTGGGAGTGTCAGCCAGCACTCATATAGTAGCCGTCAGAGTGAGTGCGGAACACTCTTTTGCTGCATGTCGGCGACACGTATCCCGCGATTTTTACGGGCTGGCCGCTGACCAATAATCCTTCGCATCTTATCCGAAGGCACCAAGACTGCCAAAACGATGCAGTCCTCCCCGTGAATGAAGAAAAACCAATGACATTGAACGACCCACTTTTCTTCGTTAGACGCAATAATAATTAGAACTAACGTAACAATGGTAGATCATCGGACGCTTTAATCGAAGGTCGCAGGTTCGGTTCCTGCCAGCGTCAACTTATCTTTTTGTCCACTTTTATTTCTTCACAATTACATTATAATTAATATACTAATAGCTTTCCCTATACTTTCTGTGCCATCATTGTCCGTTGGCTCTGAGTATTACTATTGAGTGATGAAGCAATCTTCAGATTACGAAAGGCTTCACTCAACGCTAAAGAAGAGCCCGTACACATTTTCAGCAGCCGGCGATCTGCAAAAGTAAACTCGAGGAACAACATTATGCGTCCGAGAAGTTCTATATACCTCACTCCTCCCCATCTTCGCAATATCAGAAGCGAACAATTTTCCTAATATAAAACTTAGCATTGAAAGAATTTCTTACTACATTGCTATGCGGGAGTGCGCTTGTTCGATTTTAAAACAAGAAGCATAACTGTAATAGTTGGAGAAAAGACGGAAGTATGCCGGGTGATCATTTTATCTGTCCGTCTTCTGCCCTGCAGTTCACTGTTTTGTTATGTTTGGTGACAATGATATCACGTTTTCCTGCTGTCTGCCCTTCCGTCATCCAGTGCGCTATTTGCAAGCTGTCGGACTTTCTTTCTTTTGAGTACGACGTTCTTTTTATATTATTTACTCTTACCTCTATGATTGGCTTATGCGAGTTGCTCTAAATTTCACATAGGTACCTACGCATAGCTAGCATTAAGATACTGAAACAGTGCAAGAATATGCTGTCTTGTTGATTTTCTTCCGCATTTAATATCAGACCGCCATGCTGAATGATGGAAACTACAGACTGGACAGTGGTGTAAATTTCTTTTTAAGTGCAGGGCCCCTTGGTGACTCTGTCTGTCAGATGCTGTGATTTTTTATTGTCGTCATCACTTGGTGCGACGCAGGCGCAGGCTCAAATAGCGTGCATTTTGAACGCGCGCTCGCGCCAAGCAGAAGTCTTCTTACTCTTGTTCTTCGAGCGCCTTGACGATGATAGGTGAGAAGCTTATAACGGGCCCTTGGCGTAACACAGGCGAAGCTATGTATACCAATAGAAAAAAGAAGAGCAAGCCCGAGCGAAGTAGAAAGAGAGAAAAAGGTTCATTGATTTCATTTTATACTTGTGGTCTAACGTCTCAAAACCAGAATATCTAGCCGGCGTCTCTAGCCGGCGTGATGCTGCTTCCATGAAGTTTTTTTTATTTCCTTTTTCACGGTCACCTAAAATCCGTAAAGACAACTATATTCATCCGCCTGGCCACCGTTCTAGTAGGATGAACCATGATAAATGTATACGTCCCATCAGTGCCCACAGCAATGTGTTTAAATATTCCTTTTTCCCTCGCACTGTCACCGCTTGGAACGCGCTACCAGGTGAAGCTGTTAATATTACAAATATTGGTGAATTTCGTTCTTTTGTGCAGCAGTTAACTGAGCCAGTATAGTTACATTTTGCTGTTCTTGTTGTTGCGATAGCGAAAAACGTGTTTTGCAGTAGTACATTATAATCTTTGTACATATATATTGTTTTTCATGCGTAGTACGTGGTTTTTATTATTATTTTTTTCTTTTTTTCTCGTCTTCTCGTATATGGAAAGAACACCAATGTAGTATTGTTGTAACCGCTATTGTAAGTGTTTCGCTGTTGTGCGTATTGTCCCTCAAAATATTGTATTTCCTGAAATTTGTACCTACTTGGTTACCTGTGATGATGTATGCCCGCTTCCTGTATGGGTCTGAAGAAGGCCTACAGTATTGTTAAATAAATAAATAAATAAATAAATAAATAAATATCAATATAGATACGCTGTGTGGAGGGCTCCAGAAATTTTGAAAACCTGGGGTTTTCAACATGCACCAAAATCTGAGCACACTGGCCCACAGCATTTTCACTTCCATCAAAATTGCAGCCGCCAGAACCGGGATTTGATCCCGCGACCTGCGGGTCAGCAGTCGACTACCCTAAGCACTAGACGACCGCGGCGGGGCGGAGAGAGAGAAAAGAAAATATCGAAAGAAAAAATAGAAAGAGCGAGTAAATAAAGAAAATTGATAGAGAGAGAAAGGAAGAAAAAAAAACAGAAAAAAAAACGAAGAAGACTGTTCAGCTTGACACCTGCAATTCTTGCAGCCTTGACACTCCTATATAGATACTTCCGAGCTTCGGCCATACTCTCTAGAGCTTGCTACGTATAATATCTGCGCTATATACTTACCGCACACTAGTTCACTTAGTGGTAAAAAGTAGAGTATGTGGTTTTGTACTTTCGTTGGTTTCTCGAAGTTTGGCCATTTCAATATTTCACTTCAACGCATGACGGGTCGGCGCGGCATGTCTGCGTAGAGATCTTGGCATAAATAGGTATGATATAATCTACCTATTTTATTTATATATTTATTTTTATTTATCTTTTATTTTATTTATTTATTTATTTATTTATTTATTTATTTATTTATTGCAAGCTTGACATTAGATTTAGCTATTCCAGCAAGCATTTATGTGCTCTCCTCAATCCACCGGCGCACTGAGCGATTGCCCCAAAATCTTCCTATTTTCCCACTCATGTTTCCTGCATTCTTCAAACAGTTTATTTTTAATCTCCAGTGCAAGCAGAAAGTTTCGCACCGATTTTTTACCCTGATTTCTTTAATTCTTTCTTTTAATTGAATTGTTTATTTAGTCATAAATTTACCACCTTTTATAAAAATGTTCCAATAGAGTTTTTTTTTTTCATCTCCTTGACAGAGAATAGTACTGCAGGTGTCTGAAGCTCTGTAACATCATGGTGACTGTGACATGGCACCCTTGGACAATATTGAACGACGCACACATCTCACATGTTTCCGTGTATTGTAATTCTTAAGTAACAGAACCACGCTACACTGCATTTATTTTGAATCAACTACTCTCTTTCATTGCTCCAAAATTTTTCACTCTATGCGGTACATCTGCTATTTTCTTGCATTACAGGGGTTTCACACGCCGAAGAAAATAAGCAGTCGGTGACTCTGGCTTCACATTTATGCTCATGAACGTTTTAACTAAATTTCGCGGCTCCTTACATACAGCGGAGGAAGTCGTACGCATTAGACAAGGCAACCGTATATTTCATTTTGTGCACGCATAGCTCGTGCTAACTGCTACGCGTCTCTTGCGGGCGTTATTGGGGGGATTTCAGGCGTGCATATATTAAAACTTGTTTTCAAGCTTTCATCCGCTAATTCACTATACGTCGTAGGGTAATTTTTTACGCTGTACTGAAACAGTGGACAGGAAAAGAAAGGCTAATATTGTGAAAAATACTAACGTGGAACTCGCCATGGTTGAATTGTGTTCCGCACGTCTCTTAATGCCGGGTATACCCAGACTCAACGCGCCTTGAAACTCGCGTCCAGCTGTGCAAATGTCGTCCAACCACAATTCCGGCATCGTGATCCTGTCTAGCCACTCGTACTATGCGTA